AATCGCTGAAAGTTCACTTTAAAAGTTGAAAGTGCAGTTGTAAAAATTATTAAATGTCTGCTGCGTGTTAGATTGTTGGATACTTAGCTCATTTAGAATATGCTCTTCCTGAGAGGCTGTGAGAAGTGTTTGCGGTGCACTCTCAGCGACAGGAATCGAAGAGGTTGCCGTAATGGTTGTTACGGTCTTCTTGTTGTTCAACGATTCTGATAATGTTTGCACACAAGAGCGACCACAAGAGTGTGGTTACTACTGCGCATGAGCAGAATATTATTTGTAGCAAAAATGGAGTTAGACGGTAGTATGCATGAGCAGATTATTATTTGTAGGTATTTGCAGGTCACGTGGTGGGCTCCCAGCCAATGAGAATGGGGGGAAAATTCATCGAATGATAATCCCATTTATATTAAAAGCATTCATTCTTTGGTTCATAATGTTTCTTCCACACCAGCTATCCTCCTACTTTGAACTTTGCAACTGATGTAAAGCGACTTGAATAAATTGAACTAAGGCGCTGTAATCTACGAAATGGTCTAGATCTCGATGCAATGCGATTTTCAAGTATCACGTCAACTTACCCAACGATACGTTAGGTTAAAGCATCCCCAGGGAATGTTTATTCCATTTTTGAATGGTTGCTGTTAGGATGGTAAGTACCAAACGTTTAACAGCAGGTGTATACAGCATGATAACTTCCATATTTTGAATTAACTACAGGCATATCCTAGATACTTCTTGAAAATCAAGTTTTAGAAGTTTTCGCTTCATAAAGGAAAAACTGGAAGAGAAAACAAAAACCCTTCTTTTTTAAATTTTGGCAAACGGCAATTAGGAAATGAACCGCTGACAAAACTTAAGAATTCTCTCCCCACCGTTAATACATCTTTTCTCGCTTATTTCAGTTTATTTTCTTCATGCTTGTCAAGTTTTTGCGACAAATTTCGCCATGTCATATCGTGGCCAATTTCGGTCAATAATATCATAGCCACATCTCTGTTCGTTAATGACATTATTTTCCTTTTATGTCACAGCTTGCTCAAGCTATACTGATATGTTTTGTTATATCTAAAAACAGCTAAAATGTCTCAGTTTATCCAAAGAAAAATAGCAAGCCTGAGGCAAAACATCTGCTAATTTTTTTGGTGTACGCAGAAAAAGACTAACTTATCTTCTGCTCGTCCTTTTCGCAAACGTCACACAATGATGGTCAGTGGTAAGTTGCCAATTATAGCATTAAGAGATCTGGGATACAAAACACCGCTAATTAGGATTTTTTTTTGTGCAACAAAATTTATTTAATATGTCTTAGAGCATTTTGAACTGTGAAAGATTAACAAAGCCGACTGTATCCACCGCAAAGATTACCTTCAATACTTCTCATTTCTCGCTTTACGACGAGCAAATTTACAAAAACTAGAAATGTAGTTTAGCATTTCGAAATTTGAATACCTGTTTTTAGAGGGAATAAATTATGGAAGAATTACATTTTTCTGGACGGAGTCGAGTAAGAGAATTCACAAAATAAAAATGTTTAGCAGTCAAGCACATGTTTTGGTTTCAGGCCAGGATCTAACATCAACAGCATTTCTGTCAGTTATGGGAAATTCCGAAAACAGAAATGGGAAACAGGAAGATGCTGTTTTAAAATGTTTCGATTGGTCGAGCTTCTGATCCTTTTACCTACATGATTTAAATTTCAAGCTTATTTACGAGTCAATTTGATATACATTTTAGGGATTTACTTTGCAGACTTACCTCAGAAAAACATTATCCTTATGACTTTAACTTCGCCGTGAGAGGAAAATAATAATGGAGTCCACAGTTTGAGGTTTCAATGTTTCATATCTCATATCAGGATGTTTACATTACAAATATGCTAATTGTAAAAATTGTTGAATATCGCCTCAAATGATTTAGCGTCGGATTTAGCTTGCATCTACCATCTTAAATGATACAGTCACCTGTATTTTAGGCCAACTATAGCTGAAAGATAAAACTTCGCCAAAAGAGCACTTCCAATCCTGTTTTGTTACAAAGAAAATCAGTAATTCTTATTTTAGAATTTCGACAATTAAGTTTAAATGGTCTAAATGAAAACAACAAAAATCTAATGATGCACTTGTCTGCAAATTTTAAATTAAAAACGAGGAAAGTTTTGTCAATCAGTGGGATGGTTTTTAAGATTTTAAATATGCTGCATATATTATGGAAAAAAACTTTACGAGGAAACTGACCCAAATATGTTCATGTGCACTCTGTCACGTAAAATCAACAATCATTTACCAATATAAACATGAAACATGGTATCGAAGATTTGAGACGCGCAAATGCGTTCGAAACACCGACTGCCCTAAGCAAAAATTTTGTGGTTGGATTGATGTCATTTGATTTCCATTGCACGATTTCAATCAAAACGACACCCGCACACAGTTTGTATTTGCACAACACCATATGTCGACCTCTGAAGATAACTATAACGTATATTCGTTTCTTTCACACAAACTCGCGCTAACAACGAAAATATATTTGTGCCGTAAATGTTAACCAAAAGGACCGGCTGTTGGGTTTCTCAACTTACAGCAATTTATATCAGTAGAACGCCTGCAGTGAGTTTGCGGGAAAGAGCTTTGATTTATTTGGTTTTGACCAGAGGAAGTCGCTCTTAAATTGTTGCGTGGGGGGATATTTCAATCCCACGTACAATCGAATAAAGCTGACATTTTTCCAGTCTTCCGCAGAAAAAAGCAATTTTCCTTTTACTTTCCCTTTAAGACGTAGGGACGCAATATAGATAACGCTATTTATAGAGGTAAAAGGAAGCCTTTGTCTGACAGTCATCATGAAAGATTTTGGCAATAATTTATTTAAACTTAGGTAACATCTGTCTAAATCAGACCCGGAATTGAACATCAATATTTTGTTTTTGGAATTATGGGATGTCTCAAAAGCCTCGCTCAGTTAGGAACAATTCCCAATTCTGTACTAAAGAGAAAACTTGATTACCTTTTCGAATTATCAATTAAATTTTGTGCGTGTAATTTCAACATTGCTATTTATTCCGACTTTTGATTCTTCTCCTTTTATACGAAAATAGAGCGTTTTTTATTTATTTATTTATTTTTTTGGTTTATACTTTTTCACTTTCCATGAAAAACCTTCATGAAACAGGAGAGGAGATAGACCAAGTCTTACGAATTCACATAATTGCAAGCTAAAATTTGTCACAGCTAATATTTTTGTGTTGGCTTGGGAAAATGCAATTTGTAAAATTAATTTTATAACTTTAGTTTAAAACAAAGAGATATTTACATAAGTACATACACTTTATTGCAAGAACGTTATCATGGCAAAAAGCAAAAAGCCAAAAACAAAAGAAGAAAAAGCCAAATTAGAATTTAGTAGCATACAAAAATACCCTCTGGCTATACACCTGTCAGCCGAATGATTTTCTCAGAATTTGTTTTTAATAATTCTTTCATACTTCGTTAGAGTATTTCATATTCTTTAGAAATCTCAGACGATCCTAAAAGTCCAAAAAAAAAAGGGAAAAATTTTATGGTAGCACCGCACGCTTATATTAAGTGCTAATTTATTCGTTGTTTCTCCTTCCTTTTTTATACTTTTTCCTATGACAGCTTTTTTACAATTAGATGTATGTATCGTACCATCCAATATTTCCATTTTCTATTTCTCCATTGAAATTCCATGACAACTAAAGGAGATACTTTTAAGAGGCAATTAAACGAAATGTAAACCTGTCCCGTGTTCTTTTACCGGCACCTGGAAAGGGAGAGTTTCTGCATAAATTTATATTATCAATCAGCCGATGACTAGTTCAAAACCTTTGCAGTTATCAAGAGCTAATCTCACCCCATCCTCCTTCATGCCCCTGGCTCCCACTGCTCAGTTCAAAGTTTCTTTTTTTTTCCCCAACTGTTGGAATATTTAGTTGTTCTGTTTTTAATTTTTTTTTTTGTTTTTTTGCTGTTATTGTTTTTAATCATCATTATTAATGTCTGCTAAAACTGAGCTTAAATTAACCTCTGGATCACTATACTGTCTTATAACTCGACGAGAATAATTGCAAGGAAATTTAGTTTACTAGCGTTTTCCATAATATGTTGCTGTAGCCTCTTTTTTTTTATCTTTTTTAAGCTTTTTACTTAAAATCTATAAAAGAAAAGATGTATTTTAAACAACGATTTAAAAGCATCCTGTTGCAATGGCACATGCTATTGACTTACGCATGCGCTACTCTACTGTTCAAATAATAGTGTAGCTTAGCACGATTTCCATATAAGATGCCTCTTATTCGAATCAGGCCTTCTTCCAAAGGATGCTGCTGTTTCTAATTAGTTTTACTCTTTGTTTACTCAATAATTTTCCCGATAAATTGCTTTCTATTTTCAAAATATATCTCGTCAATTCATTTACAGGACAGCTGCTTCACGCCTATCGGTTAGATTTAACTTCTGTTTTGACTCCTTAAAATTTTAAATATGATTATAAGGGAACTGCAAAAAGAAAAAAATTAGATTCATTGAAATTATCTTTTTCTTTTTCTTTTTTCAGTACCTGGTAAAACAATTCTTTCTTGAAAAATGCCAGCTGGAAAGAAATAATCTTCCTTTAGTTCGCTGATAGAACATTTCCCTTTAATTTGTTCAGCGGGATTTGACTCGGCTTTTTCTGTAGTTTTTTTTAATGAGAATCTAGCTGTAAATTCCTTACACTGGCCTATTTCCGATCGCATTTTTGCTCAAATTTGGAAGAATGCGTTGCTCGTGAAATCAGGGGATAGGTGTAAAATATTCAATAAAACAAAACATTGAATAATGATAGATTATACGAAAAAATCCAAATTTCACTTACCCACTGAAATGATAGATCGATTTAATAACTTTTCTCTTCTCAGTGGGGCACCCAGCCTTTAGGCACCAACCAATGTAAACTTAACTAATCATTCTAAACTTGACTAAAGAAAGTGGCAGTACAACGTAGATCGAGAGCTTTCGTTCGCAAGAAAAGCGCCGTTCAAAAATTTCTCAACACTCACCTGACAAGGATTGACCACAATTCCAAGGTGATGTATTGCTTTGAACGTCTTAACGCCTTCGGCTTTTAAAGACCAACCGTAATCAACGATCTTTCACAAAAGGCATTTATATTTATAGAAACTGTCGGCGAAAAGATCTTCTAGATCTGTAAATGATAAATTGGGCTTTTCTTCTTTACAAGGGGAACTAGAATGTGGGATTTTCCGATAGAAAGGTGTAAATTTGAAAATTTGATATCAAATGTGGTCGATTCGAATGATGTTTTTAAACCGCATTGATAACCGATGAATGGCTACTGACTCATTACATTTGGAAATAAATCCCAAAGGCAAAAATGCATCGTTTTAAAACAAAGATCCATCAGTATTACAAAAGTTGGCCAGGAATGAGTAGTAACGGGAACATATATGAGCTTATTTTAACCTATTCCATTAGTTCTCGATTTTAGTTAGAAATCTCGACTAAAACACATCGTAAAGACATTATTTAAGTGGGTGTCTTTAGCTACCGTTTATTCATGAATTGCTAAATGCTGCATTGTTGAATAAAACATCTTGATTTTCATCAATTGTGAAGCAAATTGATGTGAACAATTTGGACCATAGCTAAGCCAATGAAAGAAGCTGTAATTTGTCCACATTGTTTCTCGAAAGCTACTTTTTAAAAAAAAAAAAATTAAAAATAAAACACCCTTCAAATGCAACAATTGCTTTCTAAGAAAACTATAATAGAATTTTCTTTCGTAAAACCTCATTTATATCTTGAACTCATTTTGCATTAATGTTGAAAGTTTCCTCGGGGTGTTGTGGCTTAACACTCCGAACAAATGCATCATTGAGTTGAGTATCGGTCTACGACTTCGACATAAGTTTTATTGAAACATTTGTTGAAGCTTAAGGAACTAACTGGTTGACAAAATACCTATTCCTTCAAGTTCTTGTTTATGTTGAAAGGTTTCGTAAATGCTTCAATTACGCACAAATTTAAAGATATAGGTTACACTGATAGTACAATGATACTTAACGATCGCGAAAGTTTTTTGTCTCATCCCAAAATGCTAATCAGCTCGTTTGTTTTAATCTTTCCCTGCATGAGTTTTTGAGCAATAATTTTATTTCTAAAAGTAAAGCAATAATCATGTCGAAACATAATTTCTTTCAAGCTTCTTTCTGCAATTTCTTCGACTGCAGCTCAGCTGTGAGAAGAATTTTGATCGAAAGCCAAAGCACTTCATTTAAATATAGTCTCTGTTTACATCAATCGAACTTTTCATGGGAAGCAAAGTTCCTGATGCTAATTAAAAGACTGCTTCGTTCCTAAGGGTCAAGATCATTCCATGTTATCCAAAGTCAACGGTGAACAGCTGCTGATAGAATCAACCTTTAAGTCTGATCAATTATAGAAAACATTAGACAGGCGAAGAAAAAAGTAATCCAATATTACAAAGGATTACTTTCTGACTCTTCACTGAGAATCGGTCCAATTTGTTCCTCCTAGATTTTGACATGTTTCATGTACAAAAATAAGTTTCCTTTTCATATTTCGTGATTCAAAGAAGTGTTTTTGCATTTTCGCTGTCAAAATTCTGATTACTCAGCTCTTTTGAGATTTTATGATTCTTGAAAATTAATTTCATTATTTAAGTGACCGGTTATTACTTACCGCCGAGGGGGAGGAAGGGGGAGGGAGGGGGAGGGAGGGGGAGAGTGTGTCACCATAACAATTACCTGATGCCCAAGTAAGGTTCTGTGATATTCTAATGATCCCCGCATAGGCAGGCAATTGTCGATTGATCCCCCTTCCCCCCTTGCGTTCGTTCTCGCACTCTCTGTATCAGTGTAATATACTATCAGAATTCTACGACCCATACACCTCTTTATCACGGCGGGGCTGACTATCATCCTTCCTTGTACATGCAAAGTATACTTTTGGCCTCGATTAAGAGTGATACTTTTATTGTCTTCCAACATACCCTCGAGGCCAGAAAGGCAAACAACACGAATACCAAAGAGTAGACCTTAGTCTCGCCAGTTATGACAGAGGTATATTCTCGATGCTTTGTTAAACTTTTGATGGGGGGGAACCATACAAAGTGACGAAATACTCGGTCATTTCTTGTCGCCGATTCTGTTTACGGGGGCTTGAGCACAAAATATCATTGTTTGAGTGATAAGCCAACTCTCTTGGTTGGAAATGTGGAAAATGGTCCGTATTGTACTTGTTACCTATTTCCAGTCTTCCCTTGGGCCAATGCTATTTTGAAGGAAAGACTCAAGGTTCTAGAATTTAGTAATACAGCCAGGAAAAATAGTGAATGTTCTACCCATGTACTAGCTTTTAAAGCTATAGCAACTCTAACGATAGGTTTTTTTTCATCTCTCCACAGTTTACATTATCAATATCGTTTACAATGACGTCTTTGCAAACTATCGGATGGAGTTTAGCATTTAGCCTAATTGCTTTTATCATCGTGTCAGGAAACGTCTTAACGTTGGTCGCCTTCTGTGGTTGTAAAAAATTGATGCAGATGCGTACAAGCTACTTCCTGCTCAACTTAGCAGCTGCTGACTTACTTGTCGGCGCAGTAACTGTTCCTATGTACGTAATTCTGCTAAGCCATCACATAGACAACGTCACATATCAAAGCATATACACTGCTGTGGACATAGCTTCTGGTTTTGCGTCTGTTTTCACATTAACAGCCATTGGCTTAGAGCGCCTGTACGCGTTTTGCAGACCGCCTCACCGCGTCCACGTTCTGTCAGATCTGAAATGCCTGTCAATGATTGCTATAGTTTGGATCTCTTCCTTCGTCGTCACTATACTTCACTTATTGTACAAGTTTCAATTTGTTTCCTTTGACGTATTCTTTTATGTTATGATGTCATCGTTGAGCGCATGCCTGCTTGTTATCTGTGCATCATATTTAGGCATTTGGATAAGAGTTAAATTCTATTTTACCACTCATAGCCGCGCGTCAGGGAGCGATAAAAAAGTAGCAAGAATGCTTTTGACCATCACGTTGACTTTTGTAGTAACTTGGTTACCTTTTCATCTTTTAAACATAATTAACTTTTTTTGTAATTTCTGTTTAAAAGCCAAATTACCTCACAATGCCTTGTTTTTCTGCAAGTTACTACATTATGCTAACTCATTCTTAAATCCGATTATTTATTCTTTTCAAATGCCTGAATTTAGAATAGCACTGGGTAGAAAATTGTGTAAAGAAGCATTTGCCGTTGTGGAGGAAACGCCCAAAATTGAAGAAATACCGTTGGATAACATCGGAGGTGCAGAAGAACTGAGAAGTTGAGATCAAAGAAGACAACTTTGAGCTTCCTGAAGTCATCTTTGCGATCAATAACCAGCATTTGGGCCGTAGGAGACTACCATTAAAGCGTTATTGTATCTGCTTGCTTGATTGTTTACACTGTTAAGTGTGTTCAGACTAACCAAAGATGATACTTATATTCAAACGTAGAATTTCAGAAAGGGCACACACATCAGCCTTATCTGATATTGTGGTGTTTAAGGCGAGTACGTTTAAGCCATCTTGTCATCTGATTTAATAATAATATTTTGTGCCAAAGGATCTATCATAGTAGTAATGAATTAACGTAAATTTCTTCATAGTGGTTGAAATAAAGAATGAAAACAAAACAACTATCCACTTCATCGTACTTAGAGCAAAAGTATACTTCCAGTAACGTAGAATTTTGATCATTAAAAATAACAATGAAGTAATAAAAATTTCCGTTTTTAATACCTTTGGAGATATAACTGTCAATCTATTTAACTACTTTGGTGCTGCAATCCTCATACCCCTATTTTTATAGGCACTTTGTATGATCCAGCTTGAATGTGACCGATATTATTTACCTGTTTGCTCATAAGGGTACATCCCCCGTTATCGACCAGAGAACCTGGCGATTTCAAGAGCTCTTCCGGGAATTAACTTTTAATTAACCATTCCCCATAATTTTTTTTCAAATAAATATCACGTTTTCTTCCTACATTGGTCCATTTTTTTTTCAGTTCAGTGAGTTTTAAAAGATATGTTCAACATATTCTCGATCTTATATTTTATGTTTATTATCTATGAAAACAGTACAGCAGAGATTCATACTTGCATATTATCACAAACGTTTCGATTAAGATTTTGAACATTCGTAGAGAGCCTAACTGAATGCTAAAAAACCTGTTTGAGCAGCAGTAGAAGAAATATAAAGATAACTCGAATTCCAACCACAAAAGGAAGAAAATAAGTAGGAAACGAGTCGGGTCAGTTGAAGAAGAAAGGATTTTTTGTGCCACGAGATAGATTTGATGGTCGAGATAGATTTGATGATAGAATTGTCGTTGAAACAAATTAAATTCGTCTCCCGCGGCGCGAAAACACCTGCTGGACAAAGGTGGAAATGTGCCTTTTCTCTCGACAAAAATTTCATATTTCACACGACATAAGTTTTGTATAATGCATATTATTTTTTCCAGTTTACATCTGATAATATCAACGTCTCTTTTTATTTCAATGCATAAACAAAATCTGGTTATTTACAGTTTAAAAGTGTTATTTGCAGTCAGTTAACATTCAGATAAAATGCTAATTTTAAGTCACTGGGTATCTTTTTGTTTCTTGGGTCCACCCCCTACATTTGTTTAACGGGTATGTTTTATTTGTTTTTTACAACTAACTAATAGAGAGATTTATGTATTTTTTTGTTATTGTTGCTTTGATATACCATCGAGATAATATTCACGACATTTTTTGAAAGATGAGAATAAGATAACAATTATTCCTGTAGGGAGTAATACATCACCATTTTTGGACCATACATTCTATAACCAGAAAGTAGTTTTCCCGCACTATGAGTATGTAAGCTATTATCGTATACTCTAAACTCTGCTTTCTTTCACCATAATGCGACGAAACGCTTCTTGCCTCTCCAGTACCATCCTTCTTTTTCTCTGATCCCCTCTAAGATTTGGTTCTCTCCTCTCTGTTAATAATGGTTTCGAATGAGAAGTTATGTTCTTCGCGAGCCGTTTTAAACATTGTCGAAATTCGATGTTTCGGTAGGAATAAACAATGGGGTTGAAAAACGAATTACTGTAGTGCAAAAGTTTGCTAAAATAAACAAGTTTGGTCGAAGGTTGACATTTTGAATTTAAGCAAAAGTGAAAAATGAAATTCACAATATGGAAAGGTAACCAGGTAAACATGAAAATAACAGTGATTAGAAACAACAGCTCTGCCAAGCGTCTCTCTCTGAATGAAGCTCCCTTCAAACCATGACTGATTGCAAAACATCTCACGCGAGCCCAGACTAGCATATAAGACGTGCAAATAACCAGAAGGGAAAGCGAAATGCTAATTAACAACAGATAGACGAAAGCTTCCTTGGGAAGGATATTTATCCGGAACAAAAAGTAGTACACTACTAATAAGCCGGATAAAACCCAAACAGTAGCTATCATGCAAGGGTAAACTCCTTTAGGAGGGACTTTGTGGTAAAAGGGAAATACAATAGCGTAGACTCGATCTGCAGCAATTACTGCCAATGTGAAGATGGAGGCAAATCCAGATAAGATGTCCATTGACGTGAAGATGTCATAAAGGGTATCTCGCAGCACGCTGTGTTCGTTAGTCCACCAAGACACCAGCTGATAAATGTACAACGGTATCACAACCAGCCCAACTGTTATATCAGAAATTGCCAATAGGATCAAGAAATGGTTGTGTCTTTTGCGTAAAAGGTATTTGCTTGAAAAAAATACCAGTATTGTTATAACATTTACGATGATGACAATGATGCCCACTACTCCGAAGGCAAAGCACCATAAAACAAAGGACGAAAATTCCATATTCGTAATATCTGCTGTTTCTGAGGTCTGTGTTGCTGTGCTGCTGTTATTCATTCCACTAGTAGCTCAAGATCTGCAGAAAAGCGTCATAGATTGTTTAGAGGTTGAATTGACATACATCTAATCTTGCCCGCTTAGTTTGTTACAGTATGTATTACCATTAAAAACCTCAAACAAAGCAGAAATACGTTAATAAATATGCAAATGTTAAGCAACAGTAGCCATCATCATACTGAAAATTGAGGTGAATAATATCCGTCTCCTAGTAACGGCACAGTTTTCTCGTTAATTATTCAATAAAGCAAACACATTCAAAGTTTTTTAATGTAGTTCCAATGAAAACAAAAAAGAAGTCGTCTGCAAGTTAGTCATTAGGTGTCCTCAATGACATAAGATAAACAAAAGAAATATGTTAAAGAACGATCGTCTCTAAATAACTGCATGTGTTTGTACAAACTGTGAAGAGTATGAAAGCAACGATGATTAGTGTTATTGTCGGGAGGACAAGGGCAGGAAACTTCCACCTTTTTTTTTTTAAACACCTGCCAGTCCAAATTATTTTTTCACAGAACTTGAAATTTGCATTGCTAAGGCCACTCTGTAAAATTTCTCGCCGCTTCGCTTTTGTTTCGTATTTGATATAAATCTGACTTGATCCCCGCTACCAGGATAGAAGAAGAGATAGAAATTCTAAACTAATCGATCAGTGTTCTAAAGATAATGTAGCGAGCCATTAAAAGAAAATTTCTCTGCTCGCTTTCATTTACATTTTTTACCGATAGGCAGTCTAAGTGTAAATGCATCCTATATACGTACCGTGGGCTCATCGTGGACTCCTCTCCGCATTACTTGCTGTTGTATCAAGATGAAATTCTGCGCTTCCTTTTTTTCTCATAGCGCCCATTGTCACACCGAACTTCATTAAAATTTTTGTTTTTGCTTTTGATTTGTTTTTTTAGTTTAGTTTAGTAATTTGTTTTTTTGTTTTTTTTGTTTCATGCAGTCAAAATGTTGATGAATCTTACAAAAGTGTATATCTTGTAACGTCGTTATTTCAATCTGAATTTTGCTTAAACAAGGCAGAACTTTCTTTCTTCGCCTCGTCTCTCCTCATTCTGATTGGCAAAAAAGTTGGAGAATACATGTGTATACCTTTAAGATATTACCTGATCTATAGAAAGAAAAGTCAACAAGAACAATTCACTCTTCACCATGCTTGTACTTTCTATTCATAATAAGAATTATTTTGCTTTTTTCACTATTTCTTCCTTCAAAATAATAGGCATTTTAAGAATACTATACCGTAGTTCAAGTGCAAATGGAAATTAAGTACTATATTTTGTTAAAAATCAATTGTACGTGTTCATATTTACTTATTCTTTTGAGCCTTATAAATACATTAAGCTGTTTTACATAAAACTACATTTATGTCAAATGGAAACCGAAGAGGAGTCGAAGAGCAGTTCGTGAAACTCAGATATGTAGGCGACTTGAGTACTAATCTGTTTACGTATCTATTTATTATTATTGTCACTATTCACAGCGTCCATTTTGATAACGCAATTAATGCTGCGTTGTGGTCAAGAGACATGCACAGATCTCCTACGCCAAAAGTATGTCGTTTTGTCTGTTTAAATCATTTAAATTCGCTTAAGGTTTTATTCATGCATTTATTTCTTTTGATCATTAGTGCCTACAAAATATCCCAGTGGAGTAAAAACGGCGAGGCAGCTCTGAATTTGCGACAGATATAAAGAAAACCTCATAAAGTTGCGTACGCGTTTTTTTTTTTTTTGTAGGGAGGAGGGGGGGGGTTGGTGTTGAGCTTTTTGATAATTCAAGAAACGAGTCATGGAAGAAAACTTCACCTTTTAAGTTCATTTAGTACAATTTGAAATGTACTGCAAAAAATTTTCCTATAATTCGCAAATGTTATGCTTAACCGATATGATACCTTTTGCCCTGCAATGTATTTGCAAGAACCATCAGTTACAACTTCGAATCTTTCTCTCTTCGAATAGCAATCTTCTTTAGCTGTTATCCACTCTACATTTCTCAAAAAATCATGCTATGATCTGAGAAACATTAATTTAGTCATAAAGAGTCGTGCCGAAATGATAACTTATATTGGGAAGAGAATATAGCTTTCTTACAAAACATTAATTCCTCGCGATGACGAATCATATAGGTGTATAGTCTGTTTATGACAAATGAGCTCTGAAAACCTTTCCTTCCAAGCTTGAAGGTCAACTATACGCTAAACCGGTAACATTGAACTTTGAAGGAAAACAAGGTTGGCATATAAAGATCAATTATTGATAAGGTACAAAGCGAATTTTGGTTTCAATTTGTGTTTCTTTTCTCTTATTTGCAATACAAAACTCGTGTTTAAGTCTTGAAGTACCGTCGATATCGTTTTGGCAGCCAAAAAAAAAAGTTTAGAATTTTATTTCGAAGAATTCCTTTTCAAATCAAATATAAGTAAAATCAAGCCAAGGCTTACTTTGTTTGATGGTAAGCGCCACTGTCGCAATATCGGGAAACTCAAACATCAGCAGATAGGCGGTGTTTCTTCGCTGCACTTTGAATAGCAATGACTTCCATACACCTTTAAAGTTATTTGGAAAAACTCCAGCAATATTGCCCTTAGTGTGGGTGAATAACTCATGCTATTTGCCGCATCGATTTCCGTCCTGGCGGCTACATCCTCTACATCCAGCTTCATCGTTATAAAAGATATCTTTAATTAGTGGTACAACAATACTTGAAACTCGACATGAAAATAACAGCATATTTTCCCAAAAAAAATGATCGGA